TGCACTGTACTACGCTAAGTACTCCTATGTCTCTTATTTTCTCAGCGTAAACACAATTTGATAGAAAGAGACAAATGAGTAATTTCAATATATAACTCAGTCAATAATCCTACTTATATACATATAGGTTAGAACTTTTAACACAACATGGTACCTCGGCAACCCGTACGAAAGGAAATTTGAGTCAAATAAACTTAATTTTTAAGAGACATTTAAACGATAAATGCAATTTATACAAAAATAGTTTACTATAAGGGCATTTAAATGCCTTAAGGTTATACAATTTATCTTTAAAATATCATCTTGAATTCATTCGCCATAAGGTTTATAAATTAAACTACGACAGCGGTAACGACAAATCATTTCCTGTAATTAGTTAATTTAAAAGTCGTAAAGCGCAAAAACGGAAACAGCGTCACACCAATTACAAATCAGCCGCCAATTGGATCAAAAACCATGCCATACCGGAACTAATGGAGCCAGTGAACTGTAAGAGAATCACAAATAACAAAAACTGTATTAAGTGAAGATGAAGTATAGAAGTGAAATCGTACTAAAACATATCCGAATAAAAATGCATTATTCTATTAATGAATATTTGCGTGAAATATAATAATAAAAATTACTTTATTTGACTCAAAAACATTTTGTACTTACATTTATAAGTAAACATACACTATGCTACGAATCGTTGAGACGCAATATTCATTGTGGTAAACCTTATATATAAAATACTTCTATGAGCACTAGCGTTTAAACTAGGCCTAGCCTGTATCTTAAACTTAATATTTACTTAATATTTTAATTAATATTAATTAAATAAATAAATAAATAAAAAAATCATTTAATCACATAGGTAACATAATGTACACTTATGACTCGTCAGTAAAGAAATACATATTAATGCTTCTAATTTTACATTTACTGCCAGTTCTCAAAACAAGGGCGTAGAACGGAAGAGAAGAATTGGCAATAAACTCTCCGCCACTCTTTTTAATCGCCATTTTTTGTTAAAGATTACAGTAAGGAGCTGCAACCATTACACCATGTCCCATGTGACATTTTAAGAAATTAATAATCTATATATATAAAAGGAAAATGGTCTTCGTTTGAGGCTCCTTCACGCCTAAACCACTGATCGTATCGACATGAAACTACCACCATTCCTAGATGGTTTATGGCTATTTATTTATTAAATTCCAACGTTCCTTCATTTTTTTATTGCTGTTTTACTTTTATGAAAATTTATCCATACGGACTTCACCGCGGAAACATTCGGGGAGGCTTCCTAGAACCTCTAAACGTCAACATCTGTTAAAAACTCGATTTTCGAAATATTTCAATTTTCTTAGCGGGAAGTTAAAAAGAAGAATAATAAAAATATGAAAAAAAATAAAATAATGAAACTTGTGAAAATGAGATTTGTCCTCTATCATCAGAAGGCATGGTAATGCATGGTAATTTGATAACGTGACAATATATTTTAATAATGTGATATTTTATCACTAAAAATAATATAAGAATTAACTTATCGATATGACTCATAATGTAAAATTCCTTTTATGACAAATTTGCACGCCATTATGTGTGGCAGAATATGCGAACTCTAAATTGTACCACCATAACATTTTTATACCATATTCTTGCAAATAAATTATTATATTTGTAGTATCTAGCGATGCAGATTGTAAATTGTTTAGTTAAGAATTGTAACCTTTTATTTTGTATAATAAAGTTTATTCTTACTTTCTTTTGGTTCTTTCGAATGTAGAGTATATTATAGCTTTAATAAATTAAATATTAATTTTATATATTTTCTTTTTTGTAGCGATTAATAAACCTAATTACAATCTAAGGTTATTAAACTTAGGCTTTTCGGCATTTGTGTATGCCGTCTATACGTAGTTGGTCCCAAATTCTTACTGGAATTTTCTAAATTTCGACAAGATTTTATAAAAAGTTATTCATTCTAATTTGAATGTTTGACTATTGTTTTAAAATAAAAAAATAACTTTCAGTAAGTTTTCACGACGGAGTGGACATTGAAAAAGACCGAATAGTTGTTATTGTGTTGCACCGCTGTGGGCACTCCCGAGTACCATTTTCAGTTCTCAAAAATTTTAATATAACCTTAGGTTTGTGTACGTACTATTATAGGTACCTTAATCTCATTTGAGGACAAAAAAGAATCCCCCCTCAAAACACACATAATCAAAGCTATCAAAGCCGGATAGTAAGAAATTCTGTCCGAAAAAGAAGTTGATGGCTTTGCAGATGGGTGTCAGTAGGAAAACAATAAAAAGGTTTTAATGAAGATCTTGGTCTACGAGCATACAAAAAAAAGTGGGAACTTACTTAATGCTCGTCTAAAAGCAATAAGGCTTAAGAGATCGCGGGTGTTGTTTAACGGTACCGAAAACCGACACCGTGATCCTCTTTACGGACGAAAAAATTTCGATAATGAAGAGAAGTACATAACATTGATACATTACGCTAGGAGTTCTGAAAAGCTAAAAATAAAGTTCCAAGGGTACAACATGGACATCATCCATCATCAGTAATGGTCTGGTGGGAGTGTCCTTTACGGCTAACTGAGGTTCATTTTTGCAAAAAGGGGGTCAAAACCAGAGCTAAATGTACCGAGAGACGGTTTTGGATCGCCTTTCAAAGACCTGTCCACACCCTATTGCGGGACATCACTTCGTGTTCCAGCAGTACTCTGAGCCTGCATACAAAGCCAAGACCACTAAAGCCTGGTTTGAGCGTCAAAACATGGATTTAATTAGACATGAGGATTGGCCTTCCTCCAGTCCGACCTTAATCCTTTGGACTTAAATTTTGGCAGGTCTTAGAGAGGAAGGTCTGTGATACACCCCATAAAAATTTGGAGAGTCTGCAGTCGTCTTTAAAAACTCAGTCACTGAAATCGACATGAATATGGTGCGTGCTGCGATAGACGACTGGCTGCGGCGCTTAAGGGCCTGTATTAAAAATAAGGGAGGTCATTTCGAATAAGTTTATGCTATTTCTATTCCTTAATTAATGTACTATGAATTGATATATCACTCATTAAAAACTGATCAGTACTTTTGTTTTTATGATTATTTCCATTTATGACAGAACTTTGGGACACTACGTATTTTAACATTTATACTTTTAATAAATATTTAGTAAATATAGAACCTATTAAATCTTTACGTGGCTTAGTAACCGTTAACGCTTAATCAAGGTTTAATTGTCTGCATACTCCGCGCTTTGATATTTCTCTCATATTAAAGGAACCATAAAGAAAGAAAAAAAAGGAAAATTTTAACGCTGTGATAATAAAGCACTCGGGTATTTAATTATTAATTAACACTTTAAATACACAATATAAAAACGATTAATGCAATACATAAAATAATAAAAAGAACTGTACATAGTGAGTATTTTAATTTTTAGGTGATTTGTCTCCAGCACTTATATTATGCGACGCATCAAAATACCTGAACTAAACATATAAAGTTACATGTATAATTGTAAAATTTTAAGAAATTTACGTGTATAAATGTAAAATTTTAAGAAATTTACGTGTATGAACGTAAAATTTTAAGAAATTTACGTGTATGAACGTAAAATTTTAACAAATTTACGTGTATGAATGTAAAATTTTAAGAAATTTACTTGTATAAATGTAAAATTTTAAGAAATTTACGTATATAGTAACATTTTATCAGATTCATACTATAGTTTCACAATATTTCAATCACAGTACCATTTCCTAAACTGCTTTCATCCATATGTATTTTATAAAATGCCATATAACACCTATTTGTATATCATAAACTATATTAAGTCCAAAATGGTCTAACGAGTATATTTGACCCCATTACCGAAACTTAATTTATGGAGCTATGAGGTCTGATTATACTGGTTTTTATTCATGTATCAAAACCGTTTTGTAGACAAGATACTTAAGAAGATAAACATCATTTTTTAATTTATAAAATACTATCTACCTTCTTTACAAATTATTATTTGTTTATTTATTAGACAAGAGTGTTGGCCTAGTGACTTCAGCGTGCGACTCTCATACCTGGGGTCGTAGGTTCGATCCCCGGCTGTGCAACAATGGAGTTTATTTCTATGTGCGCATTTAAAATTTGCTTGAACGGTGAAGGAAAACATCGTGAGGACACCGTCATGTATTAGACCCAAAAAGTCGACGGCGTGTGTCAGGCACTGGAGGCTACCTACTTGCCTATTAGATTTAAAAATGATCATGAAACAGATTCAGATATCTGAGTCCAAGATCTAAAGAGGTTGTAGCGCCACTGATTTTTTTTATATTTATTTTTAACACATAAATATATAGTATTTACAAATTTCTTAATCTACATAGTAATAATAATAATTAAAAATTAATAAATAGAAAATTGGAACAAATTTAAAAAGTTTGGTTATTGTGGCAGTGTACCTTTAACGTTGGCAGGATTTCCTCACTGTATTGCGATACCTATCCCTTGAGCGAGTTAAGCACCAGCTCTGGGGTCATCGGTACCTTACCAGGCGAGAACTTAAATCTTTATGCCTGTGCTCTTGAGCCCCACGGCCAAGGAGTCTCTACTCCAAAGGGAACAAAATCTCTTTGAATATCGCTGTATTTAGTTTTTAAATAAAATGATTGTTAAATATTATCCCCATATTTAACTAAAGTACGTAAGTATGTCGTGTCTCAAATTTGAATTTTGTTAAGACAGTCCAATTAGATTAATTTTGTTATAATGAAAACTTAAATCTATTGATTCTACACTAATTGGCTAGTGTAATAAAATCCAATGGCGCCACAACCTTTTAAGGTCTGGGCCTCAAATTTCTGTACCCGTTTCGTGATCATTTGTTTCTAAAGCAAGTAGGTGATCAGACTTTTGTGCCTGACACACGTGTTTATGGCATATCGGTTTTCTCACAATTTTTTCCGTCACCGTACGAGCGATTGTTAAAAGCACACATAGACAGGAATGTCCATTGTTGCTGGGGATCGAATCTACGACCTCAGGATGTAAGTCGTCCGCTAAAGCCCACACTACTCTAGAGGCTCTAGTGTAATATAGGTTTTTTTATTTATCAATAAGGAAGACATTACACACCACAAACAAAAGATATTTAAAAAAAGTGCCCTTCAATTGTTTCACAGATAAGTTTTTCTTTAATTATGATAATAAAATAAGGTTAGAATAATATATTTTTGCTCACAATTTTCATTACTTTTTAAATTTGTTTAAATTTTCTATTTATTAATTTAATCAAGAATCAACTGGTTGCTAATTATGTCGGTCTATGTATATTTATTTGCTTAATTTTTTTTAAATAAATCAACTTTGACGTCGCTTGAAGGCAACTAGTCTTTTAATTATTTTTAACATGTTATTTTGACTTTCAAAAGTGCCATTTTTGGTTTAATTGAAATAAACGACTTGACTAACTATTACTATTACGTGTAGGTTATATTAAATATTTGTATGTTGGAAAAAAAAGACTAATACTATTTTGATTATATGATATTTTTAATTATTCCTTGGCGATAGGTCGAATTACTTATTACAACAGCAAGGCTGTCCTGATACGTAAAGTTTAACAATAAAATAAGCATACGTGTAGTACATAATAACGCGGCCGAGCGCACAGTCTGACATTCCCACGTAGCGTAACCACAGATTAATATACAGTAGGGTGTATTAAACGCTCATGCATGCCTTTATTTATCGTTGATATACTACAAAGCAGGCTGTGCACCAATGGACTGTCTATGTGCGCATTTAACATTAGCTCAAACGGTGATGGAAAACATCGTGAGGACCGACTTGCCAAAAAAACGCCTTTTAGATTGACAAACTTATATGAAGTCTGAGGCCCTGACCAAAAAAAATTGAGGCAATGATTTATTTTTACTACAAACTGTTTGAGTTATAAAAAACATTGCTGCATGAGTAGTTAGTTCTTTCCTTCTCTGCAAAAATAAATTTGATGTATGTACCTGTAATGTACCTAGTATATCTTATTTTTATATTTGTTTTCCTCATGTAAGTGGAATTATTCGCTACATAAATAATTTGTTTCAGACACTTCCAATAAATTTATGTTCATAATAAAAAAAAAGAATAAATAAAATATAATTGTTCTATTTTTTATAGTACAGCGCCCAAACAGGCAAGCGCTGCCCACAGATTTTTCACTCTGCCAAAAGTCACAAGTGTGTTGCCGACCTTTAAACTATACTATTATTATTAATACTCTAAATTAGTACAAATAATTGTACTAATCATTTTGACTCAAATCCGATTTAGACATTTCTATTTTTGGTACACAGTCTTAAAGATATATACAGGCGTTTTTAAACTACTGTTCATGTTATCCTGTGTCAGGGTTGATGTGACCCGCATGTTGGACAACGGGTCCTGTTTTGTGACGACGCTTTTATAGCCTTTTATAGCTGTTCTATTATCGTCTTGCTTTCAGTCTCAGATATTTAATCTGAACTAAATGAAAGACACCGCTGCCTTTTGTACGAATCCTACTAATATTATAAACGCGAATGTTTGTAAGTATGGATGAATGTTTGTTACTCTTTCTCGTAAAGGCGCGGGCACCATCTAGTTAATAATAATACTTTACACAACACAAACAATATCAGCGGGAAAACAATTATACAATTTATTTATTTATTAACACTTCGTTACCTTATACAAAAACATACATATCATAAAGCAGGTTATATAAGTTATTAGGCAACGGGCGGCCTTATCGCTAACAAGTGATTCCTTACTGGCAACACTAGTATGGAACAATAAAAATGAAACACCTACAAAGGGTAAAAAAATATAAAAAAAATAACTAAATTAAATGTACAAAAGAAATAATATAAGCAAAAATGTAAAAGCTAATTCAATGTTTAATGTGTCTCAATTAATATTAAATTGTTTATCTTCATTATTTTCAAAGATACACCCAAGAATTACCTAAAAAGCGGAAATTTACCAAAACAGAAAAAAAACTATAACTACTAAACTACAAAAAATCCTAGAACGTACATAGGGTTTATTCGTGTTCCTCTAAGGGTGCTCTATCTCTGGATCACCACTTGACACTCTATTTTGGGACAACCTGTATAAAAGTAGCTAAATTACGACCAACCATGGAACCACTATGGAATTAAATAGCTAGACTGTTCCTAGCGCTAAACCCATCTCTCGCCCGTACTGTGAACGAAAACATCGTGAGAAACGCTTGCTAGACACAAAAAGTCAAATGTGTCACGCGGGAACACCTGATCACCTACTTGCCTATTAGTAACAAATAATCACGAAACATACAGAAATCTGATGCCCAGACCTTAAAACGTTATATCGCTGCTGGTTTTTATTTATTACCTTATATGTTGTGTTATCAAAGCAAACATTTTTTTATAGGATAATTAATCAGCTATCATTGAACACTATTTATAATATTATGAACATATATATATGAATAATATATATACAAATGAATTTGATCCTTAATCTTCTGTATATTTAAGCTAATGTATACATAGATTATTTAAGGTAATACATATAGCCTCCCATTAATTTAATATAATTAATAATTCTCGTAATAAATTATTGTAAGTCAGAATGTTTAATCAATCATTGAAATGCAGTCTCATCATGATGCATTTGATGAATTGCTATTAATAGCTGATAGAAATTAACTAAGAGGGAATAAAAGTAATATTTAAGATTTTTGATTGAACTATTTTTAGTCATTTCTTTTTTGACTAAAGTACTCTTCTTTGTTATGAGATAAACTGACTTTTGTCTCTTTCTGTCTAATGTTATCAGAAAGAGGAGAAAGAGTATTTTAGATAAATATTAAATATTCATATAAAAACCTAAACTAAAATCTTTCGTTTTTCTATTTCAGACCAGTCTGCCGCAACTGCATCGTTTCACCAACTGGGTCATCACCGCCGCCGCTGCAGGAGCAGTCACCCCCTCCGCCGGCGCCATCATCACCACCCCACCGACTTCCTTCGCCACAACCACTTTTATCCCCTCAGTCACACATTTCGCCACAGTCACACCTGCAATCCCAGTCGCATATATCTCCACATCTCTCACCGCTGCCCAGCCATAGTGGATCTTCTATTCCTAGCACATCGAATTCACCCCACCCCTACTCGTACCCAAACAGACGGAGCCAGTATCAAGATTATCCAGGTAAATATTATATCTGCATCTTCTACCGCATTTACCACGGAGAGTTTAGAGGATAATACCTGCAGATGAGTTTCCTCATCGGACGTCGAGGCAGAATATGAAATTCCACCCGTACCACCTCGACGTCCGTCCTTCCACAACTGAGTGTTATTTAAGATTATGCCACCACTACGTGGAACCAGCAGCCCACTGAAAAATTTCGTAACCCATTCGACTTAGAGAGAGTGAGTCCATTGCCTGCTGCCTTTTTGCCCCTCTATATATATAAAAACTTTTATTTTTCCCGACTACCATCACGATCTATGGTTTGCTAAAACTATGCTGCAAAGGCTATGTTTTAAATAGGACTTTCATTACTTTATCATGATCCCGGTTGTGCGTCAATGGACTTTCTTTCTATGTGCGCATTTAACATTCGCTCGAACGGTGAAGGAAATCATCGTGAGGAAACCGACTTGCCTTAGACTCAAAAACTCGACGGCGTGTGTCAGGCACAGAAGGCTGATCACCTACTTGCCTATTAGATTGACAAATGATCATGAAACATATACAGAAATCTGAGGCCCAAACCTAAAAAGGTTGTTGCGCCACTGATTTATTTTTTATATGTATTTTTATTTTATATATAGACAATTACATAATTGAAACATTTTAATAAATATATCAGCTAATTAATATAAACATCTTTCCAGGTCAAAGTTACCAGTCACCACAAAGTCCTCAGTCAGCAATGTCGCTGTCACCACATCCACCGCCAGTACAAGGAAAGTTCCGGGGGCTGTTGGAGCACGCAGAACGGCTCATGAAACCCGGAGACCCTCACAGGCATTCTCAGAGTGATGATGACTCTGGATGTGCATTGGAAGAGTACACCTGGGTTCCTCCTGGATTGAGACCTGAGCAGGTAAACTTTGAATACTTCTACTATACATTACTAGACAGAATGCATAGCTACAAATAGTATGACTAAAACAGAAATAAATTAAAAATAGATTGATTGTCACATACAACGATTACCTAGTCCCATATTTAACTTGTCTACTGTACCCTTTTGAAAACTATTTTATTTTAAAAACTAATCATCTATGTCAATGGATATCATGTTTAAAAGATAAACTGACTCCTTAAATGCATACATGGTAAAAAAAATCCGTGGGTGTGGTTTTGTTGTGGTGATGTGTGTTTAGTAATTTTGTTTCGTTCCATTCGTTTCATCTATATGTCTTATGTATTTTTGCACTGCTTGCACTTGCCGTATCAATTTTTTTTCCATATTGGTTGCCTGGAAGAGGTCGCTCGAAAGCGATAAGGCCACCACAAGCCCTCTTTTTCATTTAATTATGTCAACTGTATTATATTTAAAGAAAAAACTGTTTGACCGGATTAAAGTTATGTATTGTTATAAATTTACAACTATTTAACATAATTTTAAATTTATCCGACGTTTCGCGTGCTTTACAGCGTGCGTGGTCACGGTGACAATCCAATTCAATCCGGTCAAACAGTTTTTTCTTTAAATGTGTAAAGGTTATGTAAATCAAAGACAATACTATGTATTATATTTTTGTATGCAAAGAAGTGTTAATAAATAAATAATTACAAATCATAAACATCTCTAATCTATTAACGTCTATTTTTATAAAGTTTTCGTTCCATCGTTTGACGCTGATATTTGCAGTTATACAATTATTATTTTATTACAATTGTAACAAAAAATACTTTTACTAACACATTAAGTTGACAGTCTCTCGTAGATAGATTAATAAATTCACGTAATATCAAAGAAGTATTCAAACGTGTGCTGAACACAATATTAATAGCCTAATATTGTTTGGCTAACTAAATTCAAAGCACAAAATAAATTCACAGTTAGGGGAGTCTCGCGGGGACATTTTAATTTTTTGCTCCACTGCCCCCGGCCGCACTCTTTATTACTTTATTTTACTCATTATAATTGCTTCCGCAAGACGTTGAATCTTAAACGAATTGTCGAGAGGGAAACCAACTTTTATTTCGACCCAGTGGAGTCGTTGAATTCTTAAGAGTTTACGCGTTGTCAGGAATCGCAAAGTTATGTTGTCCACGCATAAAACAACACGTATTAAATTGAGTTCCTTATATTTCTTTTTTACATACAAAATCAGAGTGTCTTCCTCTTAGTCAGACTGAAAGAAGTGTTATAGTATAGGCTAGATCGTAAATCGTAATGTTAAATTATGTCTTTGTGCAGAGACTATTTATAAATTTAACATATTAGTGAATTAACTACAAATATAAAGTCAATCGTTGTAAATTTTTGTACCACAATGTGTTTAGGTAGATCAAATATATATTTTACGCTAATTTTATTAAGAGGAAATGTTGATTAGTTTGTAAATGAACTCTAAAACTTCAGAACTGAATGTAGAAATTCTTCCATCTATATAACATTGCCAGCAAGTTATCAAGGCTATATTATATGCCATGTTAATAGAGGCGAAAACTCAAATCGAAAATCTTGCAAAAAGAGGAAAAATTATTTGCATTTGAGAGCTTTTGAGAAAGAAAGAGATTGGCCTTAGAAACCAGGGCTTCAAAACCAATTTTTTGTTCTGAATAGTACACTAAGATTACATACATACAAATGGCGTTATAACCTTTTAGATCAGGGCTTCATGGATCAGCTTTCTCCACTTTTCCATGATCGTTTCTTATAGGCAAATAGGTGGTCAACCTTCTGTGCCTGACACATTTGGCTTTTTTCACCACACTAGCGCTTGTTAAACAGACAGAAAGTCCATTAATGCACAGCCAGGTATTTAACCTACGAACCCAGTAATGAGAGTCGCCCATTAAAACCACTGTGCCAACACTGTTCAACTTTAAAAAACCAAGCACAGCATCGCTTAGTTTTGTGTGATGCTTCATGGTCACGCATTCAAGTCACGGCTAGAATGGAAAGTTATTTATATTCGCCCAATTGACACTCGCACGTACCATTAAATAAACTAGGAAGTGCTAGAATAAGATATGGAAAGGAAACCTTGTCCTAACGATGAACCTGAACTAAACTGTCAAAAACGTTTTGATATTGACATGCAAAACTCGTAGTTTGCGCTAAAAGGGAGATACAGTTGCGAGACAGCGCTGTAACTCCTGTTTATGTATAAGTTCTAAAATAACTTGCATGAAATTATTTACAAGAAAATATGACATCACAAATTTTACACACATACAAAATATAAAATGAAAAATAACTAAAACTAAATAAAAACTTAAACCTATGTAAGAGATAAACATGCATGTCAAAACATATCGGATTTTGACTTACAGAACTTAGTTTGTTCTAAGTCCCCCTTCTTAAACTTACCCTAAGACTTCCTTCGATGCAAATTTGACGATGTATGTTAGGCATAAACTGCATACGGTAAACTACTTTTGAACAATTATTAAAATACGGATTACGAACCTTTATACTTATTTCGATTTCTAAAAAACTTTAACATAGTATTTTCCAACTTTCATACTAATCAGCGTGTTTTGCTTTTAAAATCCTAGTCATACAAACAGATGTTCCTTTGAACAGGAACCGTCCAACATTTCAGCACGTCTTCATCAACCACGCAAACAATAGCTACAAAGGGAAACTTTGAAGACAATGCCTACAGTAGTTCCAATATTTCTAGAAAAACATTTTCACGCTAAAATATACCTTAGTACTATCTGTTTAGGTAAAATTTCAAATGGAATGAGTAAAATGTATCAAATTGCCAACAGATTGTTGTGAAAATGAATTTGAACCCTATGTCTTATTTATAAAGCTGTATATTGTGTGTATTATACTTTCATAACTTTTGCGGTTATTCCAACTGTCGAAGAGTAAAATATTGCTGACAGTTCAACTGTCACGTAATCATAAAACAGAATACAATTCATGTAACGTCCAAATCTCGATAGTACAGCATAACTGCATGCAACTGCTATCATTATGGTTTGACAGTAAAACCTTAATAGAAAGTATTAAATTTTGTAAAATTAAATGACGCGGAGGAAACATATCAGTCCGTTCCGCGGGAGAAATCTTCTTAATATTATATAAATTACGCGTCACGTTGTTTGTCCGCTATGGACTTCTAAACTACTGAACAGATTTCAATCAAATCTGCCCACCGTGTACAGTTTGATCTAACTTAAAAGATAGGATAGCTTACATATATATAATTCTACTGTACCTGTATGTCATTAAACTCCTCTTAAACGGCTAGACCGATTTCAATGATTTGTTTTGTATGCATTTGAGTGGAGCCCTGAATGGTTTAGATTCACAAATCAGCCCGGCAGATGGCGTTGCAGTCGGTAGTTTCATACTTTATTTAATATTCGCTTGAAATATCATGCAGGACAACATCTGTGGGATCCGCTCGTTTCAAATAAAAGAAAAATAGCCTGCATTCGATTACTACATAATTAGGATTATATTAAGCCCATGTCACGTTTAACTCGAACTCCGACGGAGTGACAGCCTCATAATTCTTCCACTTGTCTCCCCTCCTCGTGACCATTTTCCAATCCTTGCCCGCTATCCCTCTTATTCCATCTTCAGAGGTGTCCGATGGGTTCCCTTTTTTCTATATTCAGACTATATACAATGTTTTTATTAAGTACACTATTTTTCTATTGAATTACGCACGAATGTTCTTACATATGAAATGAAATGCCTGCAAAAATACCTTCCTAGATCTAGATTGAGTGATTCCTGAGAAAGTTTTAGGTATATAATTCAGTATGGTTTTAGTATATTGACGGAAATATAACCGTTATTGTTGAAGAGGTCGTTAATGGCTTGACATAACACAAAACGCTAGCGGACGAAGTATAGTGAAGTGTTACGCACGGCTTCGTCCGCTAGCTAACATAAACATTTAACTTAGAAATAATACAACAAATGTTATATTGAAAGTCTCGTTTTAATTTAATGTGTCTGACTGAAGCGACGGTAATACTAATCAAATGCAGCAAACATTTTCATTACTTTTCTCCCTCCGGATTATTATATTACATCGTCAGAAGTTAGATCACGTATTATTTTCATTAGACTTTATTGATGTGTAAGGTTAGCCGTACATTATTAGCTTTATTAAGGTAAAGTTTATTAAATGTCCCAAGTCTGCTTAAGCGTGCGATACTTAACTCTGAGATCGGGAGTTCAAATCCACGCCTTTGTACCAATGAACAACTGACGCCCCTACGGTGAAGGAAAACGTCTTAAATACCCACAACAGAGAGAGAGAGGGAAGGAGACAGAAGACGGAAGAAGAAGACAGAGGGATGATCACCTATTTGTGTATAAAAATATATGATCAAGAAGCAATATGTTGTAGCGCCACTATATTATTATTATTTGCAGATCAAGAAATTAAATTTCATACGTGTGATTTCTTATTCCAGGTGCACCTGTACTTCTCAGCGATTCCAGAAGACAAAGTGCCGTACGTGAACAGCGTGGGTGAGAGGTACCGGCTGAAGCAACTGTTGCAGCAGCTACCACCTCAGGATAATGAGGTAAGGCTCACTTTTAAAATACTCCGCCTTTTCTGTCCAATTTTGTTCTCGTCTAATGCTTTTAAACCGGAAAATAAGGTAAATCTATTTATATAATATATATATATATATATATATATATATATATAGAAATTTTTCCTAAATGGTTTATGGCTATTTATTTTTTAAATTCCAACGTTCCTTCATTTTTTTATTGCTGTTTTACTTTTATGAAAATTTATACATACGGACTTCACCACGGAAACATTCGGGGAGGCTTCCTAGAACCTCAAAACGTCAACATCTGTTAAAAACTCGATTTTCGAAAATTTTCAATTTTCTTAACGGGAAGTTAAAAAGAAGAATAATAAAAATATGAAAAAAAATAATAATGAAAAATAAAATTTTATTTATTTCCTATTTTAATTCGCCCAGCAAAGCGGGCGGGAAACGGCTAGTATTTAATATATGGTAAAAAATCCAGGATTAACATTGATAACTGTTGTAACCTTCAGGTTCAAGTGTAAATCTAGAACACTCAAATATTTTGTCAAAATATGTGTAGGGCTTACAAAAGCCCTACACATATATACACACACACTACAAATTCAGCATAAGCAAGCGTATATAGGACAGAACGCGTTATAACAAGACGTGGTACTGTTATGGTACGTGGTATTTCTCAGTACTATCCTTTTAAAAATTATTATTAAAATGTTATTTCCATAAAGTAGCTAGCACTATAACCAACTAAGAACGCTAGGAATGTTTTACGTTATTCGTGTAGCGAAATATAATTCAATAAACACACTCATACAGTATTTACAATATTCTTAACATACATAGCAAAAAAAATTAAAATTTATAAAAAATTAAAACATATTTTAAAAGTTTGGTCCCTCTGCCAGTATACCTTTAATGCTGGCAGCATTTCCTCTCTGTATTGCGATACTTATTCGTTGATCAATAAACTACTATAAAATATATAAAAATTGTGCGAACTGACTTCAAAAAATGGAGGAGGCTATCGATTCGACGGATAACTTTTTCGTTTATATACCAGTAAGAGATAAAGGATGAGATTCACATACGAGACTTACGTGATCAATTTATTGGATTTTGACATACAGGAGTCATAGTTATGATATATAATTTAATTATCAAAAAATTTAATTCTCTTTGTAATTGGACATGCATCGTTTTTTTATTTTTTTATAAGCCTACTTCTCTAAGACTTTTCTTCCGCTTTAGTTTATTAACATACAAAGCTTCCATTTCTTGAACACACCTCTTACATATATTTCATTCCAGGTCCGATATTGCCACTCATTATCAGATGAGGAGCGCAAAGAGCTGCGGCTATTCAGCGCTCAGAGGAAGCGAGAGGCGCTGGGCAGGGGTCAGGCGAGACAGCTGCACGCACCGGCTACTTGTGAGCGGGTAAGTGATAGATTTATCATACGAGGGTAAATAAAATGTATAGTGTTTGGTCTCCAAAAGAAGAGACAAGAGAAACATATTACGCAATTTAAAAAAAAATATTTATCAAAGTTTCCTAAGGCTTTTGATAAGATAATAGACAATAAGATAGCAGTTGGCTAGTGGCTTCAGCGTGCGACTCTCATGAGGTCGTAGGTTCGATTGGCTGTGCATCAATGGACTTTCTTTAAATGTGCGCATTTAACATTCGCTCGAACAGTGAAGGAAAACATCGGGCACAGGAGGCTGATTATCCACCTGCCTATTAGCTTAACGAGATTAATGAGTTCATTCGTAACAAACTAACAAATCTTTCCTCTTAGGTTAAGTTGATAAGTATAGATATACTAGCGGACCCGTTGTCCTGCATGATATTTCAAGCGATTAGGATTTTAAACAAAGTATGAAAGTCCCGATTACAGCGCCACCTGCCGAACTGAGTGAATCTAAACCATCCAGGGCACCACCCAAACGCATACAATGCATTCAAATCGTTCCAGCCGTTTAAGAGGAGTTCAGTGACATACACAAGTACAACAAGAACATACAAGTTACACAAGTAGAATTACATATACATTATACAAAGATTTACAAAAGTACCTAGTAACAATTTCATAAAAATAAACTCAAATTTTTTTTACACCTAGTCCCGTTATGAAAGCAATTGTAAAATTAACGAACATTACTTTGCAAACGCAACCAGTTTTTTATCTCGTTTAATTTGTAAGTTATAATTAGTTGAATTTTCCTCCCCAACGCAATGATCATAACGAACTTTCGGACGATAACAATTAACTCGGATTTTCTGGATCCTTTAACTTTCTAAGAAAACCTTTTTTCGCCAATTTTAATTAAAATAAGCTTCGTATTAAGACGAGTTGCCGTTAAACTAAGGAACTTCGTCAAATTAGTGTTTTTGTCACGAATAAACTCAAAAATCACTGTAACGATTTCAAAAATTCTTTCACATTTAGATTAATATATGAATGAGCTAAATTTAATCCAAATTATTTATGAAAAAAATCCGTACGAACTAGCCGCTATTATAAAATACAAATATGTCGTCGATGTATAGATTTGAGACATGCCGGTTTCCTCACGATGTTTTCAAAGTCAAGTCCATTGGTGCACAGACGAGCGTCGAACCTAGAACCTCAGCACACTAAGGTACTAGACGAACACTGCATTTATAAAAATTCGTATCGGAATTAAATTATTTTAATTTGATATTGTTTATCGCTATAAATACAATTTGCTTATATTTTGATCTATAGCTGCGTGCTATTTTTTTAAATAATTACTACCGTAAACCGCAGCCACCATAGAGTACGGTGGTTTCACGTCATTACTCTCCAAGTCGGTCGCGGTTATATTAAGAAAGCTGGCAATCACTCGAACGGAAAATTGTCTCTGATTCTGTAATTACTTTCATTTCGCGAACCATTAGGCTCGGGGTTATGTCTACTTTGTTTTATTAACGGTTCAATCATATCTGAGAAATTCCTGTAATGTAACGTTCGTAGTGGAAATAGTGATTATGAATTAATTATATACATTACTAGCAACCTAGCACACAGTAGTGAAGTTAAAAGAGCTGCCCAAGACTGATCTAGTTTGATGCGCTGAATGCCGTCTGCCCCAATTAAGGGACTAAGGACATACAAGCACACAAACGCGACTAAATCGAAACTCATAACCTTTTTATGATCATCCCCTGATTCGAATCCTAGATTATTTACCGCTCACGGATCCACGGTTTAGACAGCGTGATATATAGCCAATAAAAATATGTTTTGTTTAATCCAGTAATTTCTTACCTAGTGACGTATTTCATTTTAATTCCCTTACTGTTTTATTTTTTTAGTTTAATGACATAGCTAATTCCACTCTAACGAAGTCCCATTTTTTGGTGACAATACTACATTGATAAAGAAATTTTTACCGATATTTATAAGAAAGTTTAAGTTACATGCGATAATAAAATCACAAGCAATGTTTGTTTTATTCAATTACACAGAATACATAGTTAATCTATGCCGTAATAAGCACGAAACTTGGTGACAATTTTGCCAAAGTGGTTCTCACACCTGCAACAGCTCTAAAATGAATGTGAAAACTCGCAACACTCGTAAAACACGTTCCCACAAAGTTTTCCCGCGCCTCGGAGATATATCACGTAACTTCTAACGCCATCTGTTGTCATACTTTTGATTTATTGGTGTTGATAATGAAAGCGCGTCATCTACAGATGGCGGGAAATTGTTTATTACGACTCTTCTGATTTATAGCAATAAATTATTAGGGTGAGATCTGGTACTAGGAAGTAAATGGGATCTATAAACTTAAATGTTATGAATAGACATGTTTTTGGTTCTTTTTACTAATTAAATTGAAACTTACTGATCTGACGTAAGAATTTAAAATAATATTTAAGTTTTGCCTGAGTAAGTGCTTTACATAAACTTATAACTTAGAATAAATAAGTCTAGATCCTATGTTATATAAGATTTTATTTATTTTATTTTAGAAAATATAATTTATAATATCGATAATGTTATGTGACTGAAATAATACGCACCTATCACAAAATATCTGCTATAATTGAATTTATTTCGCTTTTGTTTCATTAATTCGAGTAAGTTCTGTTTGAAAAAATTTAACAAAACCGAAATCTAGCATCCATTGGACAATAAACTTGCTTTTACTCCTAGTACTAATTTACAGAAGAAAAATTCAAGGAACTCAAAATATGACACTACCTACAATGTTTTATGAACATCAAATTGAGAATAGAGCCCCATAAAATGTGCTTAACAAAAACCTGTCACCAATTATAGATGGCGCTCAAAGCAACTAGGCTTTCAGTGTTTCCGTGTCTGGTCGCTTTCTGAAGAAATCAGAAGATGGCGCTCAGATCAACTAAGCGTTACAGTGTTTCCATGTCTCGTCGTTTTCTAAAGAAATCAGTAGATGGCGCTAAAATTAATCAAGATTATAGTTCAACTCTACAAATTTAGATGGCGTTACTTGGAAGAATAATTGTTTGTCAATGAATTGCCTTAACACTGACATAGATGTCACTACTAGTTTCATTCTTAACAGAATTCTGGGGTCCATTATTATTTTACATTCGTAATAAAAGTGTTTCAAACCTTTCCGCGAAGGTGTGAAAATAATTTTTGTTCTTCGTAACTTTTTTAATGTTTTGGGCGTGGGAACGGCTTGGCAGGTATATTCATAAGTTTATGAGTTGAATTGCTGCGTCTGCATCACGTACGTGGCATTTTTCTTGTCACTGTTATCTTTTAAATAATACGCAATAAACAAATGGTTACGCAGTAAGTAATATAATTACTATTCATTCCGTACGCACTTAAACGATCGAGTAAATTATGCGTTCTATTTTATTTATATTGAAGGCTTATGCTACGTTTTCCTGTAAAATAATGATGTACAATTATTTATCTTTTTAAATTTGCGAACTACATAATATTTTGCATTATTCGTAAAAACGGTACACATTTTAACAATTCAACCATTTGATGTAATTACTAAAACGAGGTTATATTCTAATTATCTATTATTATCAAAAGTTTTTATTACTTTTGCGCGGCTAATTATGTCTTTGATTCACTAATGACACAGTATTCAAGATTTAGACCTTAGAGATTTTTATTTTATGTTTCATAAAAACCGACTAAACTAAAAATACACGAGTTACACAAACTTTATGTTTCTCAACTATAAAGTTTAGTCGTAAAGTTTGGCGATGCGTGGAATCCGTTCATTGATGAAATGTGTCATTATGAATGGCCGCTATATATAGTATTCCGAGAACGGCGCCCGCGCACCGCACCAATACGATATTCTACTATTTACAGCGTTTACACAGCGCTTCAAAGCTTTATCAGACAGAAATAGAAACTGTAACAAAGCGAAAGAATTCTCTTCCTCTCGATACGAGAGCAGCAATTTAAAAAGCATGAATCAGTCTGATTACGCTGTGATGAAATGTGACTTATTTAGAGAAGACTAGCTACCTAGGAGCTATATATTTTTGTATTCAAACCGACGTGGGCATATAAATTCCTGATTACTAAAACATATAGTTCAAAAATTCATTATTAATATTAAGTAATTATATATTTTGAATGGTCTTGTTATTAAATGTATAAAGTTTTAATAAGCTTAACATTTATGAAGATTAGGCTATAATCTCGCCGGACAAAATATTTTTTGTCAAATCAAAAACTATTTACTTTGATTTTTTTTACCGCCGCCCATTAACACTCTCAATGCCAGAGTGCTCGCGAGTGCGTTGCCGGCCTTTTAAGAATTGGTACGCACTGTTCCTGAAGCACCCTAAGTCGAATTGGTTCGGTAATACTTCATTGGGAAGATGTCAGCTGTCTTCGTATTCGTAGTGTGAAACATTAGTCAAACTTCAGGTTTGTACAAGTCTCTTTCATTTGTGACTGTGAAATTTGTGTGTAAACTCCAACCGCTGAAGTATTTCCGAACCAATGTGACTTCAGGGTCCTTCAAGAAAAGAGCGTACCAATTCTTAAAAGGCAAGGGCAACGCACTTACGAGCTTTCTGGCAATGTGAGTGGCACTTATTACTTAACATCAGCTTCTACCCGTTTTCCTCCTAAAAAAACACTTTAATTACCACTACTATAAACGCATAAATATCAAAATTAAACCAAAAATTAAATAAACAATTATCTACCAAAATCATATTTCCTTATTTACACTGGCAACATCTGTAAGAACAGCTTGACAAAAAGTGATGTTTTTTCGTAGTTTTTGTGGATGTAAAAAGTTGATATTCAAATTGTGGGGTGGCAGCACCTGCTCTATCATGACATTGTTATAAAGATAAAATGCTGTTCGTATGTTTTTGATATTAACACAGATTAGCGTGACGGATATTGTTTTTATACTAAATACGTAATAAATATACGAGCATATTATATTATACTTCGAAA